GTAAAGCGCCCCCCACCAGGAACGAGCGTGAATATTCGAGTCACTCACATTTGTTATTTAACTGATACCGGGGCCAGGGGGCGGGAGGGGCTCTTAAATCCACTTTTTGAGACTGGTTTTAACGAATCAGTTGGATCTTGGCTGTTGGCGAGAGCGGGAAGAACTAAAGCTAAAGCCACACGTCAGGAGCACCTTAACAGTGCTTTCTGCTGGGCGCGTTAGGATGCTCGCACCCCAAATCGATGGTTTTAACAAAATGACTCAAGAAACAATATTGAGCATTTATTATGAGGTCTTAGCGCTTTATTATTTGGGGGAAAAAAAAAAAAAAAAAAAGAAAAATAGGAAAAAAATCAGAGGAAAATTTCCACGTCACAGGTTTAGGAAGATGCTTCCAAGTCGCACATAGCTAAGTACGTTAGGAGAGTGAACTGCTGACTCCTTAATTAAAAGCAGCAAAGCCTATTCCTACATCAAAGCGTGACATCGCTATTTCAAAATACAGTACCCTTCAAAAAAAAGAAAGGCGAGCAGCAAGAAGCCGGACACGCACTTGAAAGTATTACTTGGCATTTCTCGCAGGGGTTGCTGCAATACCATATTGCCAGCCTACAAATGATCTCCCCTGGAAAACTCTCATCTGCGAGCCTGGGAGGCAGAAAGGCGATAAACCAGCCCCGACTCGGAGGGAGACGGCCCTAAACTAAGGAGGAGATTAACTTCTGCGCGTGAAGTTTCCTACGTGCGAATCACAACTGCCCACTAGAGTGAGAAATAATTCACAAGACCTCAGCCAAACTCGATGGCATCACCCGCATTAATCACGAAAAGGCGGAAAACCCAGCGCCCAGCTCCCGGTACCGGCTCCCCGGAACATTCCCGGCGTGTTTTCGGAGGCAGAGCACCCAAGCGAGTGACTCATCCCCCGGTACTTGCAAGGGAATAATTTTTCCCTCTCTAAAGGAATGGTGCTCGCTCTTGGCGGATTTATTCATTCAACTCAGGTTTTCAAACTCGTGTCACGGGTTGGGTTTGGGTTTAATTCCGAGGAGGACAGTGAGTAAGCGAGTGACCGCTGCTGGGAATGGCCAAAGAGGATTATTTTACCTTCAGAAAGGTGATGTGTGGGGCTTGCTTTTTTTTTTTTTTTTTTTTCTTCCCCTGCTACTGCTGCAATTACACATTTTATGTTTTCAAGCTCAAAAAGAGCAGGAGGCATCAGAAAACAATCCGGCGTGAAAGGGCTCGGCTCACAAAAGCCCGGGGAGGATTTTTTTTTTTTTTAATTTTTTTTTTTTTTGGTACACTGGATTTTCTTCGGAATTACATAAACAGCGGTGTTTTTAAGTCAGTCTTTCGCAGACAGAAGGGGGGAAAATTGTGACTCAGTTGGCAAAGGGAGGGGTTGCACGCTCCACCGTCCCTATTCCTCCCTATTACCGTTAGCATTTCGCCAGTTTTTACAGAAATCCGGCCCGCTCGCGTCCTATTTTAAAAGAAAACAAGCTCCCTCGTCACCCGGCCCCTGAGTCAGGCTGTTTAAAGAGGGATTAATTTATTCTCCCAGACGCGGTGTTTGTTCCATCGGGGTTTTGTTAGAGCCCGGTGGAAGGTGGTTGGGGTTTTTGGGGTTGGTTGTTGTTTTTTTTTTTTTTTTTCCTTTTTGGCGGGGGGAAGAGCATAAAGAGGGATTAATTTATTCTCCCAGACGC